GGGAACATGAATGACGCCATAACAAGTCGAGGCGGTACAGGCGACAAGCTCCAGATGCTCCCTTACAAGCTGCTGTTTGAGAAACTTACAGACACTTTCATGGCGCTGGATTCCAAGACGAAACAGGCCAAGACACGATCCGGTGCTGTTTCAAAAGTACTGTTCCCGACCAGGTGGTCTCAAAATGCGCAAAAGATCAGTGCATATCAGAACGCCTCAAAAGACTATTATGCTGCAGCAGAAAAGCAAGGCTTGGACGATGAGATTCACAAGCGGCCCTCGCCAGTCTATGACTCAGACAAGATACAATGGCAGCCTGCTATTGTGGAACGAATACCGAACATCATGCGGCAAAGGATACTGCTTTGTCTAAACCGAATGGCTGACATTGACCAGAAGCGCAAGAATCGCAACTGGAAGCACCTCTTGCGCTTCAGGTCCCTTACAGAAGTGGAATCCGATGCCTCAATTGCTGGTTCACTTCTTAGGCCAGCCTCTGAAATGGATTTCTGGAATGACATGGGAGATATTGAAGCCGAGGGTGCTATCTCCGGAACTAGTCAAGGACAAGGCGCGAGACAAGATGGTCGTCCACCTATCGCGGTTCGGCCGTCAGAGATCGAAACTCAGGAACCGCCATCTCAGATTACAGCCAGGAACCCTCAGGATTGGATTCCAGGTAGCTTTTTCCTACATATTGGGCCGCCTGGAAGCATATACACACAGCTTACCAGTGATGACACTCCTGCCATAGACGACGCTCGTCGTCAGCAAGCTGACTCCGCAGAGCTAGGGAAATACATTCCTCCCATGGTCAATATTGCAGGCGCCTACCGTCTTCCTGTCTTCAACCTCCATGCGATGCTCGGTATACAGTTTGTGGAGGTGCTCTCTCTCCTCCTGCAAAGACACCGTATCCTCGAACCCGATTCCACTGCTGCTTCTGGATACACGACTCTTGCCTCCAACACAGAGTTTCTTGTCCTCGTCAAATCCACTGCACCATGCGCTTTCTTCCTCATCCAAGAATTGTGGCAACTTTGGCGCTACCTAGGCGGTACAGACTGCCTGATTCAAGAACATCCAGAAGCGAAGCCTCGCAGAACAAAAGTAGACATGTCACATAACATGCCTCCCGAAGCCTGGAAGCAACTGTATCAAATTCTTGGCCTACCTTTCTCAGGTTCACCATTGTCAGAAGGATCTCAGAGCACTGTCGATTCCGCGAAAGACGGCTGAGTCATGCTTGTCAGGCTGTAGGTAGAGATGGCAGACACCAAATGAGTACTTGAGTCCAAGATTAAGGATGCTGGGAAGGGGTTTCCGAACGTCAAACCTGTCTAAAGATGTCTGAGAGACAGCACTAGCAAGATGATGTTTAGTCAATTTGCGAGGCTCGAAGTTAGCCATAGGACGCGATCCTGGTTGATGGATTACTTCTGAGGAGAGCACCGCTTTGAAGCAACAAAGCTCGCAGTATTCAATTCATTGACGTAATAGCTCGTGGTCGGGTTCTTCTGGCAAGCGCTATGTCCGGGTAGCATATTGGGAACCTTAGAGCACATGTGCAGGCTCATCAGGTTTTGCAATCATTTTAATCCATTCATGATCGCCCTCGTGCCGAGCCGAGCACCTGGACTAACGCAAACCACCATGATCCTCGAACAGCATGGGGTATAGATATAAAATAGAACCTTACATGCAGATCGATCATGCTCTCTTCGTCTCATTATCTCATGCTGTTCCCCCTTACTACCCATTAAAACTTTTTCCCTCCTTCATGTCAGGCATGAAAAGCCATCATCATCACTCATTGTTCATGAAAGGCTCCAGCTTAATTGATCCGGTAAGAATCGATCACAATCTCGTTTGCCCTTCGGCTTCCACTACCCAACCACATGCCAGTGTTTAGGTTCGCGTATCTATCATCCCCAGTCTCAAGCTCAATATTCAATCTAAACTTGTACGAAGTAGCCGGTGTTCTATCCGCCTCTTCTGGCTCACTACTCACCTTCTCCATCGTGTCCCTTGGTCCTGTCCACCACCCCTTCATCTTAACCACAATCATGGCAGGAGGGTCATCACTCGTCTGAATCAGGAACCTCGAGTCGATGCTCGTCGCGAAATCCTTGCCTGTTACCTGGGCATCTTGACCGCCTGGTATTACAATGCCTTTCGCCCATCTTCCGGCCCACTGGCCACCAATATAACTGATCCAGTTACGCTGCCCATGGGTAGTCTGGGAAGAGCCAACAGGAACTTTAGGATTCAGCTTGATAGACATGCGGAAGTCGAGGTCGAGGGTTGGAGTGGGAAGGGAGAGCGAGCGAGCGATATCGCCTTCATCAAAGCGATGGAGGAGGTTATTGGCTGGAATGGAATCTTTCATTACATTGAGGTACGTGGGACACTCGAGGAGATGTTGCCGTTGACGTGAGGTGTTCTTCGCGCGAATCTGGTTGCAGTACATGCACTGGACGGAGAGGCATTTGTCGGATTCATTGGCGCGGAATTCGACGAAGGCGCTGTGGACATCTTCGAGTGGTGGTGCTGGGATGTTTGTGCCTGGTGTTGCTTTAGGTGTTGTTTTCGGCTTGGAGATGGGCCGTGGAACGGGTGTGCCGTTTGAGGTTGTTGGCGGAAGGGAGGGTCTGTTGGCCAGTGGGGTGCCGTTCAGGACGGCTGTAGCTCCGTCAAGGGCGCTGGCTGCGCCGTTGATGGAAAAAGCTGGTCCATAGCCAGCGGTGTCATCCGAGCTTTGAGGTCGAGCAGCGGGAGGTTGTGTGGGCGTCGAATTAGAAGGGTGGTTTCGCAGTCCGGGACATTCAAGGAGATGCTGCTTCTGTCTTGATGTATTTTTCGCCCTTGTTTGGTGACAGTATATACACTGAACCGATAAACACTTGTCATCGGCTATGTGGAGCCAGTATTAGCTGTTCATCCGGTATGATACAGTACGGTATATCACTTACGCGAAGCTCTGTATTCAACGTAGGCACTGTGCACATCTTGATCTGTTGCTCTTCCCATTCTGCTGCTATCGTTCATAACTCCAAGTTGCTAAGTCGAGAAGTGACGGGTCACGCGTGACGCTGACGGATATTTGAAAGATCGAAAGCAGGAAAGAGCGAGATGCTGGCAGCGTTCTTGCGACAGGTGTGCCCAATTGAGTGTAGCCTCGGAGCCCCTCAGCGTTTTGACCGCAAGTTAGCGGGACCTGCCCAACCCAGCCAAAGCCATCCGTATTTTGAGCTCACGGTCACAGCCAACGTTTGATTGTTCTTCATGCATCTCATTGCCATCTGCGCAGGTGATATTAGGAGCTGTCTTGCTCACGAACTATTTCTATTCCAGGCGTTCAGGCATCTAGTGGCTAGCATTATCCTGTTCCAAATACCTTTTCGATGGGGCCAGGATCTTGAATAACCAATTGTATCGTGTCTGACAGAATGGTTTTCATCCAGCAGTGTTAGTCCTCAAGGCTAGATGTTACGGTCCTGAACAACCTTATAAATTTCCAAGCCCCAGCTCCTCCTTACTTTCTAATGGGATGGTACTGGATTAGTCTCTGGCTTCTACCCCATACAAGGTAACTGTAGATCTATTTTCTTATCATCGAACGTACAACATCTGTTTGCATCGCATGTTAAGCAATGGTGACCATTCAGGTAGGCTGCTTCGAATAATTCGCTCAACTGCTGCAGAACAAGTGCTTTGCCATTTCACGAAGAGTTCTCCAACAAAAGCAAGGTATCCTAATGAAATGATCGTTGATCGAGACTTTAGTCGGAATGAGTGAGCGTCCTTGTATGGCTTGCAGCAGGTGGGTCTGCAGATCAAAGCTTCGCCCGAAGCAAGCTATACTTGGATTCAAAATTTAAGCATGGCCGACATATTTGACAAGACTTTGCATGAACAACGTTGCTATCTCACTACAAATGTGACCGAAGAAGGTCTTTGCGCTGCTTTTCAGGATGCAAGAGATCCGGACTGCAACGACATTCCCACCGTTTATGACGGTGACCACGATGTCCCGCTCGTTGTCTTGATATTGGATAAAGCTTCGTAAGTCTTTGCTGGCTGGTCAATCTCCTAGAAGTTTTACCAAACACTTATCGTTACCCCTGTCACGATTGGACTTTAAGCAGTAACGATGCAGGACCAAATCGTGCTCGAAAGAGATATAGCCGGTAGCTCTGACTCCAGCTTGCCGGTCAGGCGTGCGGAGGACGCTAGATCTCACAATAAATATTACCCACAGCTGCAGATGATCTATGATATCTACATATGTACCTCGAGCTGGCGAAGCGCTGGTTGAAGAGGCCGAGGCTCAACTGCGTTAAGGATGAACGTCGAACGGAGACACACAGTTTGATGACCCCAAAAAGGTATGTCAGTATGAGCTTGCAGTCACTTTGGGCAATGCAGTTTGCGTTACCAGAGATAGCCCAGACTCCCTCTACTCAGAAATGAAGGCTCAATTGGTGCGTCGTACCCTATTCTCGATCCGAATGTTACTCACCACAAGACTTGACATGAAACATGATGTGCTATTGGGCTGTTGTGCTTTATATTGAAATGTCGTTGTTCTTTGGCTTTTCAAAAGGAAATGGAAGCTTCCGGTTCGTTCATAGCACAACTCGAGCTGTATTTTGCAGTCAGCTCAGAATTTCAAACAGCAATATATTTCGTTAGTGTACAAAAGGACTTGGTTACAAAACGTTGTTATGGTATTCGTGTTTCATACACGGCCGAAATCCGGATGTCGGCCCATGCTTGGCATTTCCGATTTCGAGAACTTTAAAAATGACTTTTCCCACAAACCAGGCTGCCGGAAGTCCCTAATGTGGTCTCTTTCCCAGACTTTGAGATTACAATCATGATGTCAACCAATACCTAAGCCTTGCATCTTGGCATCAATATCAAGAAATATATAATTTGTACTCACAAAACGACCCCGAAATTGCCACACACTTGCAATAAGTGTTCTAGGGAAAGCAGCCCACGTGGCACAATTGGTCAGCGCGTGAGACTTTTAGAAATAAGAGTATCTCAAGGGTGAGCAAGATCATTTCAACCTCCATAACCTCTCACTAACAATAACAGTTGAGAGTTCGAGCCTCTCCGTGGGCGGTCTATTTTTCTTTTTGTAAACTTGAAGGCATTCCCATGTCTTTGAAGATCTGTGCCTTGCAAATTCAGCTTCGGAGCTGGAGGTCAGAGGTAGGAGTCATCAGTACAATACAATTGACTCACACCTGAACTTGCCTTTTCAATGAACCTTAGCCTCTTAACCCTTCTTGGTAGTCCAAACCTTTACACCGTATCCATTCCTGTGCTCTGGTGATCTGTGCAGCCCCTTTTGGCTAACTTGACCTCATATCATCGAAGGGTCCATTTCTTTCTTCGTTGCACGGTGCTGATTTATGCACATAAATTTCAAAATTTTCAGAATTGCTAGGGAATAGTTGCCACATGTTGCCAACACTGATAATGAGGATGATCAGTAATATTGCTACGGTCACCAATGAACCGTGATCAGCTTCAGGGTATGGTCTTCGAGTGAGAATCTACAAACTAAACAAAGCAGATTGTCATTGGAAACATGGACACACAGTCAACACCACCTTCCATGGTGGAGGTCGCCAGGACCACATATGGTAGTGATGTTTCAGCAAGCGCAGATCAGGCCAAAAAACGTCACATCGGGGGTGATTGGAAAATGGCATGCTCACAGTCGACTGTGTCGGCTACGCTTGAGCACTTTCTTGAGGTAACTAACCTTCTGCTTGAGCAGGTGCAGCTGAATTCGAGCCATCTCTTCCGAGCAGACATCTTGCACGACAGCAGCGGCACATTGCGGACTTTGGTAGAGAAGGAGGCGAGATGTCAAACAGATGCTACAGCTCAGAAGGACGTCGATCTATCCTCTGATCGCCAGCCATTTAGCGAATATCTTGCTCCAGGCTTTGCAGGTTTCGAGCTTCAAAGAACTGTCATTCGGCGATTGATACCAAGAAAACCACAACTCGACAAGCCCCTCGAACAATCATGTTTTATCTACAAAAACGCCGGGCGGGACACCGACATCTCCCAGGTTTTGGTGGTGTACCTACCACACTGCTCCTCAGCAGACGACATGCCATGGTACCATCCAAAAGTCAAAGCACTGGCCTACCTCTATTCCCAGCCTGCCTTCCCAGACACGCCTAGCTCAAATCTTTCAATTTATTATCTCCTCTTTTCCTCTACTGCCACACCCCTTCCTGACCGTCTTTCACGCACTTTCGTCTCGCTTCTCAATACAATGATCCGCCTCCTCAAACTTCCACCCAAGTCAAGCAACTCAACACTGGTCGACAAACCTATCGAACATGATATCCTCACTATGTCCCTTACAGCATCGGCCCTAAAAGACACAATCATCCCGCAACACATCGTTCAAAACACCTACACTCGACTCAAAGAGACCTACGCCAAAGACCTCATCGCTCGGTGGGTCGAGACGACCGAGCCTTCCAAACACGTCTTCGAGGACCTCTCAATTGCAGCATTTCTTATTCAGCTTTGGGATAGCATGTATGATCTCTCCTCCACCAATAAGAGTAATTTCTCAGGCTTCATGGACATAGCTTGTGGCAACGGCGTGCTCGTCTACATTCTCACGAAGGAAGGGTTTCGAGGTTGCGGCTTCGACGCACGGCGGCGCAAGACATGGGAAGTTCTAGGAATTGATGAGTTTCTCGAAGAAAAGATCTGTGTTCCAAAGCCGTTCATGGATGTGATTGATAGTGAAGTGCTCGGTAGCATGAATGTGCACGATGGGTTGTTTCCAGCTGGCACCTTCATCATCTCCAACCATGCTGATGAACTAACATGCTGGACACCACTACTTGCTGCTCTGTCATCCCCGTCATCGCCTCTACCATTTCTTGCCATTCCGTGTTGTTCGCACGCACTCGATGGATCAAAGCACAGATATACATTAAAGGAGGTGGCCGCATCAGCTCCCTCTGCTACCGTCTCCAAAATAGGAAATAGCATTGAAGAAACAAAGGAGGATGAGCAGCCTGCAATAGGCGACCTCAAGGCCATGCGAGCCGCGAAGCAGAAGGGCAATGCAGCAGGCGGCATTGATGAGTCTATGTATGCTTGTTTGACGCGGAAGACTGCGGCATTGGCTCGAGAGTTGGGCATGGACGTTGAGTTGACGCTGATGAGGATTCCGAGTACGAGGAACATTGGCATTGTGGGGAACAGGAGGAGTATTGTGCAGGCGATGAAGCAGGTGTCCGTAGATAGAAGGCCTGAGCTTGAGGATATGTCGGCCAAGGTTGTAGCGATGCTAGAAAGAGAGTGCGGCACGATAGGCGGCGTGAAAGCATCTGCGAAGACATGGGTTGAGAAAGCACGAAAACTAAATGGTGGCCAGGGTCGTGGGAAAGTCAACTGGAATGGACCGCTGAATGAGTCTGGTTGAAATCTGTTTATTAGGCGACGTGAGCTCGCCTCACAAAGACGTCTCATTGTCAGGAGCTACCACTCCTCGATAAACTCCTTGTATCAGGACTGGCGTCCTCGTCAACCTGCTGTGGCAACACGACATTGAACATGCCCTCGGCCCACTCAGCAAAAGTATCTCCGTCCCACACATCATCCTCAGCGCCCTTGCCCTTCCGGGATATCTTTGCTTTCCCACCCGGCACGCCATTCGCTTTGCCTTTACCCAGCGTCTGGCCAGCATATTCTTCAAAGAAGGCCTCATACGCTTGCACAACTTGATCTTCTACAGCCGCAACAAGAGTTTCTCGAGTCCGGAGGTCATCGAGGTACTGCTCGAGTTTGGCGCGCAGGATCGGAATCTCTTTGGTGACCATTTCACGTACGGCAGCTGTCGACTCTTCGGCTTTCTTGCTGGACTTCAGGTCCGCAGTCATGATCTTGGTGAAGTTCGCAGTGAAATCGTTGATGACTGTCCGTAGTTGACCATCGAGTTCGACTTTCGCATCAAGCATGTTTTCAATTACTCGTGGAAGGAGACCGCCAGTACTGAAGAGTCGCATCCAAGCGCGGGGATTGAAGAGGCCTCCTCGATCTCGGATCTCGTAGAAGGTGCTTGTAACGCCGGAAAAGTCGAATTGCACATCTGGTGCAACGTATTCGATGTCGAATGCTACTATTTGTGATTTTAGAAGGAGGAGATGGCGGAGGAGGAAGAGTTGGGCATCTGCTGGTGAAGACCGGCTTGAGATCTGCTGAGAGGCCGAAACAAGAGATTGGGTTGTCGAATGCACGATTTGATGCGCTAGATCGTCGAAGACAGAGGAGTTGACGAGACGATAAATGCGGGATAGAAGGCGTATGGCTCGAGGCAGAGTCGGGTAAGAAATTTCCAGGAGACGATTACGAGACCACAAATTGGGTGCTGCTTCATCGCCTGAATCGTCTTCGGTCGCTGCTGCGATGTTCGAGGTCTTTCGACCAGAAAGGGGTGCTGCTGACTTTGGTGTTGGAGCCTCCGAGACTCGGCGGGGGTAGTCGAGATCTTCGGTCGATGGTTTGTAGTACTCAATCTCGTCTCTCAGAAGTGCTAATGTCCTAAATACGAGTCTCGTTTGGGCGTCTTCCAGTGCTGGCTGCACCAGAGTTGCAAAGTCGAGCTGAGTTGGATCTGGCGCTTCATCCTCATCGTCGCCATTAATGTACCTCGTCTGCAGCAGAGTGACCAAAGAGCATAACTTGGACAGCTTCATCTCGTGTATAATCCTTGGTCTCAGCTGATCAAAAAGTGGCTCACATATCGTCTCGAGGAAGTCATACAGTCCACGCTGACCATGGAACCATTCTTCCCAGAGCTCAAACTCGTCTAGACACACTCCCCGAACGTATGTAATGCTTGATCTTGCGAAAGCCACCAGGTCTTTTGAACTGGGTGAGGTGGCAATTTCGGTGATCTTTTGTTGCATGATGGGCAAGATGAGTTTCGTTCTGCAGGCAGCGAAAGCCTGGTGTAGCTCGTTCATAAGACTCTGATATTCCCCCTCCGTCCCAGGCTCTGCATCTGCTGGCGGCACGGCTCGCTTCTGTATTTCCAGACCCAGATCCTTCATCCAAGGAGCATCCACACGAAACTTGGCGTACAGCAGGGACGACAGCAGTGTATCATTCACGTTCATCTGCTTGTCAACAATCCGCCTGCCCACGTCGTTGGTCACATCTCTCACCCCCGCCATGAAGGTATTCCGCACCAATGTCAGGGCTCTGGTAAGCAGCTGCTTGTACCTTGCCCTATATATCTCGGCCTCTTTCTGTGTCGGGTGTGTCTGCATGTAGTCTATGCATTCGTCCAAGGTGAGAAGCATATCCCTAAAGTCCTGAGTTCTGACAAAATTTCCAGCACCGGGAGCATTCATCCGCCGAGTGATGCGCTCAAGAGGCTCGTAGTACTTGAGGTTCTCAGCTAGATCAGTAGCCAACTTGTTATTTTGCCGTTGTTCCTCCAGAATACTTGCTGACTGTCTCTGGAAAGCGGCAGTCTGCTGGTCAACTGATCTAAAAGTCTTTGAAATATCTGCCAATTGGTCAAGTGTTGCTGTAGTTGATGCCAGTAGCTGGTCGAGATGCGACTTGGCTGCATCGAGTTGGTCAAGGTAGCGCTGGTACTCGTTCAGGCTTGCTTCAAGAATATCATTGTCGTCCAACTTCAGAAGGTCCAGTTCATTCTCGGCTTCGAGGAGGTCGTTCACTGCCACATCTTGCTCGCCTACACTCAAGCGGCCAGCCATTGTGGGTGAAGAGTTTCTGCTTCCAAGTACGCATTGGCGCTGCAACGCTTTCCAAGCAATACGACCGCCCAAATATCATGTAGGCAGGCCTCGAAGCCCTTCAATCAGACTGACGGTCCTGTTGGCTTGGAATATCGGCAATGTTGGACCCTTGCGCGCTTGCATCTCCGACCGT